AAAATTTTATTTAAGTTGGAGTATTAAATTTCTATTATTTTGTATTAAATTATAAAAAGAATCTTTGTAATATGATTATGATGATAAAAATTCAATCACGTTGAATTTAAAAATGAAGGGAAGAGATTCAGAATGAGATCAAGCTGCACGAAAAGATTAACTTTTATTTAAAAAAATTAATAAAAGTCGTATTTAAATGATAATTTTAATGAATACAATTTATAATGATATTCCATCTCAATATCCATTCAAAACTATTCAAAAGTAATTTCTGGATCTATATAATCCTCGACAGTGTCTAATTTAACGAATATTCTATATTTTCTACCACACCATGGATGGCTTTAACCACATTCTGTGATTGTAAGTTGGTATTCTACGCCAGATCCTTGATACTCTTCTGCGAAATATGACCGGAAATTATCTACATACATCTGCAAGTGGTTCATATGCGACATATTAAAATTCAGAAAATGAAATCAAATTTCAAAAAAGAAATTAAATTAAATCTTATTTTGTAATCCTACATTAAATATATTAATTAATTGATTCTCTATTAATATATCACGTAACACAAAATGCATGTATAAAATTGAAATATTTAATCTTAAAATATTTTTACAGAAAAAAATAAGATATAAATCAATGAAATAGCAAAAAATTAAAAAGAAAAATATCGAAAACTATTGATCAAAATTTTATGCTTATGTCCATGTTTCAAAAATGCAAGTTTGTTTATTCATAGAAAAAAGCACAGTTGGGTTTACGAGTGCAACATAGTCGAGTTCTGTTCAGTTGTTGGAGTAGAGAGCATACTAGAAACGTGTCTGAAATGTTCAGTGAAATGTTTATCTCTATGGTGTCATTTTGAAAATGATACAGGGGATTGCATTGTCACTGCATGTACACTCTACTTTGAAAATACCTAAAAATATATACATATTCTTTCCTCGTATCGTTGACGTATTATTATTAATTAAATATCTCAATATTTGGTCAAAAAAGAGGAAAACTTAAACAAACGTCAATTTTTCTCTCTCTCTCTCTCACGCGAGAAAAATTCGTTCTTTACAATTTTCCTTCGTCCATTAAATTGATTTTTAGTAACGTTTCAAAATTACTTCAACTCATATATCATTGTTCCCCAACTTTTCTACGATACATTATTTCCAAACTTTGATAAATCACGTTCGAAAAATCAATTTTCCGCCAATGCACTTTCGATCGGTGACGAAACGAAAAATGTTCGTTCTGTGTACAAACTGAGGCCGTTTCAACTTTTCTCGGAGCAAACATATCGACCCTGACCGTTCATCGATTGATTCACCTGGCGATTCGTTACGTTTTGAATAATAATTTACCGATATTGTCACAAATTCGATCGCAACTCGTTAACCGAACGATACGGCGCGGCGTAACTGTCGTGGTAAAACAACGAATAGATAGTGACACGTGAACGTTCGTTGTAATACCGACGACGGAGGGTTTACGTTGTTTCCGGGACGCCGGATTATCCGATTTCAATTCTCGATTAACGATGCTCTGCTCATGGAGCTCGTTTCTCGTATAATAAATTTCGATTGATTTCGAATGGAATGAAATTTGGAAATATTTGATTTTTTTCTTTTGTCGATTATTTTTCAATTAATTAAGAAGACAATGAAAGAAGAAGATGAAAAGAATAAACTTGGAATAAATTTTTTTGAACATTGTTTATTTTAAATAAAATCTTTTTCATGTTCGATGTTAAATTTTACTTTCTTATATTTCTTTCTTCCGAATTTTCTTTCCTTTAAACGTTGAACGTTTAAAGTAATTCTTGTGACAAAGTTCAAAGTTAAAAATCAACGAATAGGTTGTTATTTGAATTTTAAAACTTTCAAATTTAATAAATTTTTCTCCAAAAAAAAAGGAGGGGAAAGAATTTTTAGCTTAGTTTCTACTTTCTTTTTCAACGGTGTTCGCGTCTTCGTGGAAATAACGTGTCTGAGGCAGGGTGCATTGCGGCTCTGTAATTGGACACCACTAATGCATCCCAACCTCGTTTGTCGAACGTGAAAGGAATGAAAAGGGAGGAAAGATCGAACAAGAAGTCTAAAAAAACGGGAGGAACGGTGGAGAAGAAGGAAGGAAGAAAGGTAAAGGAAAATGGAAAAAATTGTAAATCGATACGGAAGTCGTTATTTGGTTTATTCGTTCATCCGATCTGTTTCCCTTTCGGCTCGATACTTCTTTTTCTTCTAGTGGATTTTTGCTCCCTCGTTTCATTCCGTATTTGCTGAATACTCCAATTTATATTTAATGATACGAGAGGAAGCAAGAGATCGCAATTTTTTAAGCGAACCTCTAATTAATCAATTTTACATTAATCCTTATAGTGAATAATATCCTTGATAGTTTTCTTCGCTCGTTCTTCCCTTCAAAAAAAATATTCCTAAACCTCTCTGCAGCAATAGTGAGAATCGAGCGTGATTACTTTTACTTATCAAAAAAACTATATTGAAATTAATTTTTAACTTCCATAAAAATATAATTTACATTTTCTTTTAATTCATACACTAATCCATGTGTCTCATAAACTCTTCTTCGCTCAAATTCTTCTCTTCAAGAAATGTCCATCGATCATCAACTGTCCCTTCTTTTAATTTCCAACCTCGTCACCTCTCATCCCTTCCAAGTTTCCTTCACCTTTCCTTCATCATTCCCCTCCATCGTCGGCAACGCACCGGAAACCTCGAATTGGCGCGCACATTCGATACTCTTCTTCGCGTGCCTTTCATATTTCATCCCCCATATCTTCTTCTTCTTCTTTTCTCGCATTGTCGTCCGCCATCTTCTCCTTCGTTCATAATTTCCTCGTTCGTTTTTGCGCTTCGTCATCTGGTCCTCGCGTATTTTCCTCCATCCTTCCGTTTCCAGGCCGTGCTCTTCTTATTTCTCTCATCTAACGCGGCCCACAGCCTCGGATTTCATATTATTTCCCCTTCTCCTCCGCCACCCCTTTGTCCCCCGTGGCCCATTATCCTTACCCCAACTCATTCCTCCGATACGCGGCTCCCGTATACAGGGTGTCCCTTTGTTTTCCGGTTAAATTGTGTGTAGAGGCGTAATCAAGATTGGCTCAGAAATATTCACTTTATGGAGGAGAAAAGTAGTGGTGGTATTTAAAAGAAATAAGGTGTATGATTGTACTCTCATGTAAAAAATATTCATTTTACGGGAAAAGTAACGATGGTATTTGGAAGTAAAAAGTGGTTAAAGTTTCTTATTATATTATATATAAGTATTAGGGATAATCAGAGAAATTTAGATTATTTTTATTGGAAAGAAAATAGTAATAGAGATGAAAAATTAGAAAGAAATAAATTGATTCGTTACTTTTTCTCTCTGAAATGAAAGTAAGAAAAGATACAACATGATTATTTCGTATAATCTGTTATATTTTCTTCTTCTTTTCCTTTTTTTATTACTTACTTTTTGCTTTCTATCGAATTCACACAATATTTCTTTTCATCAATTTTCACTTTTAGATTTCTACACTTTTGATCGGGAAAGCAAGAGAGCACCCTGTATAACGTCATTGTTTTCCCTTACTCAGTTTCCACGACGTTTCGCTTTCTCATTTCTCGCGTTTCATACCTGGATATCACCGCCCTCCGCGAAATTTGAGATCCGAGTATTGTGGGAATGGTCGTTAGACGCGTTACGGAGTCAAGTCTCGTGGGCGGAAGTTGCGCTCAGACTTTGGAATATGTTAAGGATTAAGACGATTTCCAAAACGTGGAACGGATAGGTGTAATTAGCTTCTGTGTGTATAATTCCTTGTAGTATTTTTTTCACGTTCTCTTTTCTTTCTTGCATGAAAATACTTTAAAAGTAGAAAAATATTTCTTTGTGGAAGATTATTACAAAGAAGAATTCATCAAACGAATTTATTTAATTTTAATACAGCAACTGTTACTTCCACGCGATTGTTTGTATAAAACAAAATTAGAATTTGTTAATCATCAACTCTTAAACGTGTTAATTCCGTACAATTTTCATATTGAAGGATATGGAAGGGAAGAAAAATACAGCGAAATTGAATGAAGTCAATTTCACCTCGGTCCTCCAGGTGAAATTGTATCACCAGACGTCCCTCAAAATCGTTCCCCGTAAGGCAGGGTGCAACTTTGCAGAAATTAGTTCTTCTTTGAAATGAGAAAGAAGCACGGAAGAAATTAAAAGGAACTGGCTGTGTGCACAGTTTGACGCGGGAGAGCGGAGAGAAAGCGCCCCGAGCCTTGCTATCTCGAATTCATATTTCATCTTATCGCTAAATTGCCCGCTGTGCGTTCAATCTTTGCGCCGAGCTTACTGCCTGTGACGGAGTTAAATGCCCCCTTGCACCTTGCCGACTTTACACGAGATGCTTTCGTCGATAAATTTTTCAGATCGCTCGTGTCGAAGAGAGAAGCTCGGAATTTTACGAAAAATCGAAATAACGCGAATATCAAATTATCCCAATCGAAAGAATTTATTTATCAACAGAATAGAAAGTAATCCTGGATTTTGCAAATATCGAAAAAGTAGACAGTTTGTTCCATTATTTTCACAGAATTACGAATCGAAATAGAGTTTTATTTATTTTAAATAGGGACATTTCGATCTCGTGAAATTTTGTGAAAACTGTAGAAAATTGACCAGATGACGTGTATAAACAAAAAAAAAAAATCGAAAACTAGATTACATCCATTACGACGAAATCAGATTATGAAGAATCAAAAAAAATAAATAAATAAATCTCTCCATACGAAGTCGCGTAAAATCAACAATAAAAAATAGGTTTTATTGGCAAAATCCAAAATATAAAAACTGATCCATCCCGGCAATGAAACATCCATCACAATCGAAAGTTAATTTAATTCAACCAGATCCAATAACGAAATAATCAAAACTAAATACACATCGATTAACCAACCCTAAAAACCTATTTAAAAATCTTCTAATCTTTCAATTAGAGTTATAGCAACAGCACCGAACTTCCTGTTTCCTGAGTTGCTTCGAGCTGCCCGCCTTATCATCGCTTCCACTGTTCTTCCGTCACTGTGACCACGGTTCCTTCGTCGAGGTCAAACTCACAAGTTCGCCGCCGCCCCTCTCCAAGATTCACCAGCTCGATTCTCGATTGCTTCGAAGTGTCATTCCGACTGCTTCCAGAGCCGGCTGCTTCCAGATCTTCGACAAAGCGCGATAATCCAAACTTTCGTTGGGCGAGGACATTGGGCCGAGCACACTCGGAGGACACTGGAGGACGTGAAGGAAAGATGAAACTGGCGCGAGAGAGAGATGAGAAGCGAGACGACACGCAGGAATCGAATATCTATTATTCTGAAGGCTCGACGATGAAACGTCGTCGAAGAGGATGGATCCCGAGATGGTGCTCCGAAGTTATCCTCGTTCTTTTCTTTCCATCGTTACCCGATGTTCTCTCCCCGAGAATGAAACTGCGGAGCGGATCTTTTCGATCGTTCGATTCATTTTCGGTGAACTTTGGTGAGCAAACGATTCGATTCTTCTTGTATCCCGCCGGATGGAACGGATGATCGATGGAGGAATGATGATGAGAAGAGGGACGATAAAGTCAGAGCAACGGATGACGGGAGTAATTTTAGAAATAGACGAAATTTGTGTTGGAACGTCAGAATTGAAAAATTGTGTTTGCAAGAGTGATTCCCTTGAAAATTTATGAAATAAGTTTTAGTGATATGATTTAATGAGATTTTTTTTTTTTACGTATTGATAAAGGAGGATAAAAGGTAATTTTATGATTATGTGGAAATCGTGAACAATATTATTTTAAACGTTTTAAAAATAAATTAATGGTAAGGTTTTTAATTTTTATATTCCTTAAAATAGAGAATAATTTTGACATTTGAGCAAATTGTGAATCGTATTGCGAAATGTGAAGATATATTAGAGGATCTTTCGTTTATCAGGGCAAAGAAGGATTATTGTATGCGAAAAGGGAGAAAATTGAATGTGTGTTAGGTTGATAGGTAACGTGACATTAAAAAGAGATAAAACCAACCCCTTTGATTTCCCTGGAAATTTCCATTCTTCTCGAATATAATATATAGAGACTGAAAGTAGGTGTCATTTGTCTGCTCAAAGATGTGACAACTTTTTTCGAGCTGGAGCTCTTTTTTTTTTTTTACACAAATTCGAATAATATTTTCATCGCGAATACGAATTTATAAAATATTTAATTGCTGCAAGTTGTCGAAAATTTTTTCGAGTATTTGTTCAAAAAAAAAATTGTTTATCCTAAAAAATTTTAACAATCAGTAAACGCGAATAAAATAATACCGTATTTATATTTCAATGGCATTTTCGCAAGATAATAGCGTTCAATCACTTTTCAGATTACATTTTAAAAATTCAACGAAAGACAATACGAATATAAAACGATAAAAAAACGATTCTTGCTTTTTCACGAATAATAAAGAAAATTTATCCACGATACATGATAAAACTTCAAGATCAACATCAAAATTTAAAAAAAAAATTATCGATAACACGATTTATCGACAATTTATAAATATCAAAAATATTATCAAAATATGTAAATCAATGCGACAATGTTTAAAAAGCCAAGGAATATCCAATTTCTTAAAAAGCCACGTAATAAAATATTTCTCGTTGCCCTCTCGTTGCAGGGAGAGGGTTCGATCGATCGATCGAATTTATTCAAGGAAGAATCGAGTGTTAAAATAGCGGAAGGACGGGTGGCCTTAGCGCTTTACGTTCTAACAAATAATAGATCGCGTTGAGATGATCGAGGGAGGCTATTTATCTTCGGTAAATCACGGCCAAGGGAGGAAAGAATAATGACAAAACGCTTACCTTCCCGGAACCCCTCGAGTTGCATAAGAGAACACCGGCAGCGTGGATTCTATATTCCTTGTCGAGTTGTTCGTGCTGTCCTTGAATTTTCCTGCCGGCAAAATCAACGGAAAATTTTACGTAAAATAGATCTGCGGCACATTAATGTAGTGGAAAATGTATATTTTATGATTTGAGAGAACGAAATAACAAAATATAAAGCGTTGTTAATAATAGAAATATCAAATCCTTGAAATCATTTTTTCACTCTTCTCTTCTTCTCGTAAAACGTATACATATGGTACAAAGTCTTTGAGAGAATTTTTCTTCAAGATAAGATTATTTAATTTAAAACATTTTCTGCTTATAGTATATTTTTCTTTGATGAACACCAATCATATATAATATCTATACTATATATTTAATTTAAAATCTTGATAATTTCTCCTCCTCTCCCGTCATCCCTATATCATTTATTAGAAATGTTTTATATTTATCTTCTCATATCACAATTTGAGATTATTCATTTTGATTATAAATTCCATTTCTCAGCGATCGGTTAATGTTTTTTTTTTATTAGTAACTCGTTAACAAAACCTTCGTAATGAAGGTTTCTTTTTGCAAAGAAAGTTTAGGGTTTTCCTATATATATAAGAGGAGGAAAATTTCCAAAAACTTTTGACTAATGACGTATATTATACATATATACTTTTCCCTAATTAACCATTCCCAGCTTTAAACTCAATCTCCACTTCTATCCTCGCCAAACTTTGTTACACGCACACACACACACATCCCAATTTTTCTTATCGGAGCCGGAGGAAAGTTACTTTGAAACCTCTCTAGCAAACAGCTCGCTAAACGAGCAGCTTTCTCACCGCGCAAGAAGTCCATTTGTAAGCAAGCACACGACCGGCTAATTCGCTCCAGTAAATTTCACTCACCTCTTTTAATTCCCTAATATTAGATCGCGCACGAACTCGCGCTTTGTTTTCCTGTTCGGTCAATTGTTTCCAAAACATCTGAAACATTATTTCGCGACGTTATTTCGTTCGATTTTTCTTTTCGTTCGTTCTTCCTTCTCAAGGAAATGAAAAATAAAAAAAATAAAACAGAGGGACGAAGGGATGGGTGGGGCGAGTGAACGAATGAAGACGAAGGAGGTGGCGGGCGAATTTTTTCAAGAGGGCGCGTTTCACGGCCACGGTGATTTACGAATCGAGAAAGTTCGAAGGACGGGCCTTCGTGGAAAGTTGGGCAATTACGCAGGGGTAAACAGCCTTACAAATTCATGACACGAATCTATCGGCCCCCTCTTCTTCCGGGCAATGCTCAAGATTGGAAAGGGATCATCGAAGTTGAACACACGTTCTTTTCTTTTGCCTTTTCGATGACTTTCGAAACTCTTATCCGTTCGATTGAATTGTTATTAAATTTTCACTCTGTCGTTAGATTTTTATGCGAAAGTTTATAGTGTGAGTTATTTCTTTGTGCGTGTGTGTGTGTGTGTGTGTGTGTGTGTGTGTGTGTGTGAAATTAATCGAGATTATCGAAATCTTTTTCATCGTCTTTCTTATTCTTATTCATCGAATATGATGCTTCTTTCTCGAAACATTTAAAAGTTAAATCACCTTGGCATCAATTCCTTACTTCAATTTACTTGAGATGAAGTTGGAAAAGATAATTTTCTTAATGAAATTTATTCAATTACATTGACGAGCTTCAGTTTCCTAAAAAGCGTCTGTTCGTTAAAATAATTCATAAAATATTCAAAAACGTTTCATAGAAAATATTCTTTCATTTCTCTTGCATTGAAAAATTCATGATATTAGAGAACGTTGAGAAGAAAATTAATGAAATTAAATTTTCCTAACATTTACATTACAAAATTTTCAATATGTAATATTTTCTTCTAAAATAAAAAAAAATTGTTCCATTACCAAAGTATTATTTATTTTATCCAAATTTATTTTTTCGCTTATATCCATTCCAAATAACAATAAATAGTTTATTGTACATAGTTTATCTCAATACCTTTAATCTTTTTCAATCTTCAATTTCAAATAAAATCTCTTCCTACAGATTATGAAATTCTGAAAGCAAATTAAATTCTGCATTGCAGAAACACCGCAGCATCCGGCCATCTAATAAAGAACTCTTTACTCATGAATAATTCAACGTCGAACAATATCGAACAGTTACTATATACCTGATGAAATAACGTAAATCTTCCCTCGAACACGGAATTTTCCCTCGTCGAGTTTTCTATTTCGCGCGATAATCTTGAGGCCGGAAGTGTGACACGCGTGATGCCATTGCAAATACATGTAAGAAGGAAAGAGAGGGCCTAGATTGTTCAGGGATTTCGAGATAGCCTCGTGGATGAACTAGGAGACGACAGTGATATATGAGTCTTGAACAGGGTTGGTGGTTTATTCTCTCGATCTTTAGAGAGAAGCCATAATCAGCTGTCACTGATATTGGTTAAATTGATTAAAAAAAAAAAAAAAACTAACAACCCTTCTTTGATTCTTGCATAAATATATTATGAGATATTGCGAATGCAAATTATAAATCATGTGTAAACGATGCAAAAAAGGAATTTTAAAGGTAAGATAAACATCGTTGTAATAATTAACTTCGCTAATGATGAAATTATAATATTGAATTTGTATTTTCTAAGGAATTTTGAAAGGAATTAGTAATGATTGATAATTTATTTTGCAAATAAAATCTTATTACTATTATTAATAACAAACAAAGGCTATCAAAAAATTTTACGTATCTAACTTTTCAAAAATTGAAATCACAATAAATCTATAATTTTAATGCGATTGTAAATTGTATTTATATCTTGAATCTTATGTGAAAAGTCAAGGTAAATTGCTATTAAAAATTACAATTATATTATATTTTTAATACATAAGAATAAAAAATTCTTTCCTATTCTATTTCATTGAAAATCTTCTCAAAAATTTTAATCCTTTCTAGAAAAAAAAAAAAATTCCAAAAAATTGCTCACAATTGAGTTAAAACAACTCAATTCAATTTCTTCCAAATTCTACGATCTTACTATTTTCTATCTCACCTCTCCTCCACTTCTCATTCACCCCGTTCATTCTCAAGAGGGATCGTCAATTATTCCGTTGTTTCTCGGGCGTGTTCGCGTGGGTTGAGCCGTAATTAGACGTCACGAAAACGGCGCAACTCTGGATCCTCTAAATTCGTCGTCGCCGTGTATAATCGACGAGGCGCAACCCCCCCGGCGTCCGCAAACAGCGCCGAAACGCCACGAGAAGCTGTGCAAACATCGTCCGCCCAGAAAGGGGAAAAAGGTGGAAAAAGAAAAAAAAAAAAAAGAAGAAAAAAGGAAGAAGAAAAAGAAGGGAAGGAGGAGGGAAAAACGCACAGCTTTACATATCGCTGACTCGAGGATTTTCTCCTCGAGGTGTCGCCGAAACGCTCGAGACGCTCGACCCGGAAGCGCCTCGGGAAGTTAGCACGTCACGTGGTCCTAATTTTCCGGATTTCGAGATTTTCGAAGTGATCCACCTACGTGTGTATAACCGCGATCCTGCAATCCCGGTGGACTTATCGTTGGGGGATGCCAACCGAGGATTCGCTTGGGATTTAATTAAAAAAAGAGGCGAATTAAAGGAGGATTCGTCGAATGGAAAGAAGTAGGGATCGAGAGAATGCATCATCGGTGAAAAGAACGTTCGACATTGGTTGGAACGTTTAATTTAAAAAAATCGAGCGTTGTTGATATTCGACGCATCTGGAATTGTGAAAAAAAAAAAGGAGAAGTGAATATCGATTTTGGTTATTGAATTTTGGATATCGAATTGCGATTCAAAAGGTCTCGTTTAAACATTTCTTATCTTAATATTCTTAGAACGATAACGATATTGGAATATATATAAGTGCAGAAACGTTGTACATGTCTGCCGCTCATATCATATTTCCAGATTAGACAGAAAGATGAATGTAGTTACATTTGAATTTTTCGCAATTTTGTATTTCACGCTTGTTGCATTTACGCAGACGTGAGAGCAATTTTCAACGAAGAATATTTTTCGTTGTTCCACCGAGCATACTTTGAAATATTGTAATTCATTATGAATTTTGGAATGTTGCAGAATTAAATTTCAAGGATTAATAAAGTTCCTTAAACTGTTGTTTCTAAATTTTTCTGATGGCAATTTTTCAAGCAAAACAGACGCAAATTTATACTATATAGGAATGATACCTCAGAAAGTGAATTCATTTTTTTTTTTTTTTTGCAATTTTAGTTTGAAACAAAATACGAATAATCGTGTTCCAAGCTAAGATTGAAATTAGAAACGATGTAGAACGTTTAATAAATTGCAGAATTTCAAGTTATTAGTTTCCAAATTAGATATTCGTTTAATTTCCAATAATACATTATCGAATCAGAATCTGCACGAAGTTAAATGAGTATTATTAAATTCTTAATCTCTTGTGAAATTTACTCTACGATATATGTAATACTCTATGAATATATCTTTGGTATCTTCATTATAATATCATATGAAAATGTAAATTCAATGTGAAATGTTTTATGAACGAATGACTGAAACATTAGAATGGAGGACGATTGAATGGAAAATTACGTACGTTTAACATAGTTATTATTCAATTGCAACTTCAAAAACTTTACAAAACCTTTCTGTAATTCATCTGTTTCTAACAAGCTCCATTAATTTTTTTTATCAACATTTGTATCGTTATTCATTTCTCTTCATTGGATACACAAAAATAAATTTCCCCATTTCCTATATTACACTACATCGCGAAACCAACGAAGAAATCGTTTACGCTACAAACCCGTTCAAAATAATATTCTCACTGAAACTTCGATTCAACATCGATTCAACATCGACCATCCATTGAATCTTGAAATTCTGAAAATCCGTACAGACGGCTCAACCTCCGTGGATGATCCGCGAGGCGCAAAATTAGCAGCGGAGCGTAATCGCAAGCGAGAAATTCATTAATCGCGGCGTACTTTACGCGCGATGAAACGCGATGTAGCTGGAAAGTTGGCAATTTCGGCATCGACTTCGAAACGACTCGCGCCGGAAGCTAGGCGAAACTGCATAATTCCACGGTAGTTTGATCAAATTGTTAGTGCGCCGGAGGACAGCCGCTAATAAATCTTGAACGAGTTAATCCTCCTCCCCTGTTCCGTTAGGAGAGGGGGCGAGAGCGAGGGGGAAACTCCGTGGATGGTGTTACCGAGGGTCCGATGCCAACTTGCAAAATATATTATTCGAAAACTACCGGCCGGGAAAATGAATGTTTTCCTTGCTCGGGTTTTTCGTCCCACCGTGGCCATTTTCGATAACTTTCGCAGGCAAGTTTTACAGTTTTGAGGGGAGGGGGGAGGAGGGAGGCGACGTGACCGGTAAAAGCTTTTGCCCGCGATTATTTTCGCGTCCGATGACGTGTCCATACGCTGAGTTGACCTTTTTATAATATCGTGTCTTTTTTTTTTTTTTTTTTTTCATTTTCAAAACCATGTTCCATTTTTTTCGTTTCTACCGTTTCTTCCGTTTCGTTACTCGTCGTGTAAGAAAAACGAATTCCGATTGCGAGAGGGATTAAATGTATTTGATATTTTTTTGGTTTTCGTGTTGTATCGAGATACCACGTTGATAACGAAATTCTTATTTATAGAGGTTTAGTAATAGCGTACAAAATGAAACGAAGGATTGTTGACTGTCGTGGGAATCACCGGTGGTCGCCATTAATAAGTCTTGCAATAGCACTATGGGGATCACGAGGACACCGAAATTAATTGAAGCTTTGAAGTAAATGAACAGCCGTATCTATCAAATTTTTAATGCTTTATAGCGTTATATAGTAATGTGAGATAATAGTGTAGTATCTATTTTAAATTTAATGCATATTTTTTTTCGAAATGATTAATTATCGATTTGACATAGAAATATATTTAATAAGATATATTTCATGTATTAAATATATATTTTATTCGTGTATTAAATATTATTAAATATATATTTCATGTATTAAATACAAAAAAGTTGTAATATTATTAATATTATATGTATATGTATCTTTCAGAATTAAAAATAAGAATGAGTATGACTTCGATGAGTTGACCATCGTCTGATAAAACACGTACTGATTCTACTTACGATATGGCGTGCAGCAATTCCTGCCGTTGCTTTTCTTTAACTTTCACGCTTCCTCCTTCTTCAAGAGCTACTTGCAGTTCCCTCTGGAGGACTGCAAGTTTTCTGCGTTCACCTTCTAAAAGTAAAGAGGTAACCTGCAACAGTAAGTATAAAAAGTTAATCAAAATTTCTGGAAATCGATTTCACTTGTTTTTGCATTTTTAATTTTATTCAAACTCGAATTATTATTTTATTTCGTGATTAATTAATCATTGCGTGTTCATTTTAATGTATAATTATTTTATATTTATTATTTTTTTCGCGAATTAGCAGTTAAAATATATAATAATACATATATAAACCGAAATTAATATAATAAATTTTATTAAATATATTAAATTTATTAAATATATTATTATTTATATATTAATAAAATATTAAAAATATTATATATATCATAATATTTAAATATTCTATATTTTAATTGTTAAAATTAATAAATCGATAAAGTAATAATACTCATCGATACGTATGTTTGTGATTTTGCCCTCTAAGCTACGGTTACCGAGTGGGGAAAAGTCGCACGTTACGAATCAGTTCCGCTTCGACCGTGGTGCCGTAAGGACGAGTCGTAGTTACGCGTATTCGATTATTAAAATAATTTAAAATTGCGTGTGAATTTTGTGTTTAAAATACGTGTGCTTTTTTTACGAGTGTTTAAAGTACGTTTATTCGCGAGTGTGATAATTTTGTGCGTTTTATTCGCGAGTATCACTACATTTCATCATTATTTTGGACAAATCGGAAGTTGGATGCCGAATGCTGTGCCGTGTATTATCTAAGAACAGCAAGTTGCATGCTTCTTCACACAGGTAACTGATTTATTTTTTAAATATATATAAAACAGAAAATCAGAAAGAGAAATAAAACGGAAATAATGAAAATATATTCAATTGACTCGTATCTCGACTATGATTACGCGCCAAGAATAAGAATAGACAAGGAAAGTAAATAGTAGGAAAAGGATAGAAATAGTAAAAATGTTAATGGTGGCGCCATCTCTGGAGCCACAAATGAAATAAAAATAGAAAAGGAAGTAAACGAGGAAAAGGACAGAAATAGAGTAAAACCGATCTTTGGCGCCATCTCTCGAGCCACAAATGAAATAAAAATAGAAAAGGAAGCAAACGAGGAAAAGGACAGAAATAGAGTAAAACCGATCTTTGGCGCCATCTCTCGAGTATTTTTAGAAATATATATTTTTGGTACTCGTAAGATGGTGCTAGTGATCAATTCTACTTTATTTTATTTTGAAGAAATATTTTTACTACTCAAGAGATGACGCTAGTGGTCGATTCTTATTCTATTTCTGTTCTTTTTTTATTATTTGCTATTCTTTACTATTTTGTTTCATTTGCGGCACTCTAGAGATGGCGCTGATTGCAATATTTTTACCATATCTCCATCCTTCTCTTACTATTTGCTTTCCTTGTTATACTTATATCCAAATAATATAGTTAAAAGAAATTGATTTCTGATTAACTTTATTGCACCGTTATTCTATTTATTGATTAAAAATCTTAACAGTATCTATTCTATACAATTTTTATATATCGTAAGTACTTATTTTTTTCAAATAGCATCATTATTAAATTTTTTTAAAATTAATATCGGCGTTGTAATTGATAAATATTAAAATTCATCGAATCGAATTTTTTCATAAATGATATTTTTTTACAAAATATCAATTGATTCGTTTTTTTTTTTTTAATCTTCAAATAAGAAAAGAAACTTACGATATAATTAATAATACGAAAAATATATTAAATATATTTTTCATATTATTATTAATATATAATATATTCTTCTTTTATTCGAAACAATTTTTTTTCTCGCAAATTTACATATAGTTTTCTCTTCTACCCATTATCAATCGTGAATCGCGATCGAAAATCAAAAAACAGTGTAATTGATAAATATTAAAATTCGTCGAATCGAATTTTTCCATAAATGATATTTTTTTACAAAGTATTAATTGATTCGTTTTTTTTTTTAATCTTCAAATAAGAAAAGAAACTTACGATATAATTAATAATACGAAAAATATATTAAATATATTTAATTATTATTAATATATAATATATTCTTCTTTTATTTGAAACAATTTTTTTTTCTCTACATATAGTTTTCTCTTCTATTATCAGTCGTGAATCGCGATCGAAAATCAAAAAACGGTGTACTTCAAAAATTGATAACTTCAAAATTTATTCTATAGATATAGATTTAGATTCTTTTAGATCCCTTTAGATCCTTTCAAACAAAAAAAAAAAAAAAGCATCTCCAATATTCCATTTCACTACTATAGAAAAAAAATCAACATAAAATATTTTTGTATATAAAAGAATAGGGAAGAGGAGAAAACTTTTTCCACGAATAGAGACTCGAGGAACACGGTTGGCGCGAAATTTGCTTTCCCATTTAGCACGATATCGATCTCGCAATCTCCGTTCTTGCTCGTGTTCCTCTTCTAGCCGCGTGCATCTCGATGCACCACCGGCCAGGCGTGGGTGTATCGTAACTCGTGTGTGTGCGTGCTCGGCCACGTTCCTTGCTGAAAGACGTGGAACTCGAACAGATTATTATTCGTGGTGATGCGAGAGCAAGCAAGACGCGAGCTCGCGCAATTTACCAGGGTAACCTGCATGCGAATGCAGATTGTAATTGGTTAGAACTACTGAATTTCCTATCTGTATATATGACTTATTATTATTCCGGGATTGTGCAAACTCGACAAACTGGATTCAGATCACTTCAGCTCGCATCTTTGCATAGGTTCGTCTTTGCGCGTACGTTCGAATAGGTTCTTGTAAGGCTCTATAATCGCGCTTCCGCTAGAAAATATTCTTCGTGATTTGATTTATTGAATGATTTAATGAGCGAGGAAATGACGATCGAAGCATCTCTGAAAATTTGTTTGAAATTTTATATAACTTATATACGAAATTGATTTAATTTATACATTTGTCGAATTTAGATATATTAAAGAAAAGATAATTAAAATTAAAATAACGATTTCGAATCGAGTAGAAATGCTTGAAAATGAATTGTTTTCAAGCCAATAAATTAAATATATTTGGAAAATATATATCTATATCACAAGCTTTTTGAAATATTTTAATTATAATTTCAAAACAGATCATTATCTGAATTTTATCAATTTCCAAGAATTCGATTATCGATCACTTCAAATTACAACATTTAATCGAATAATCTGTACAAGTATCGTTTTCCTCGCTCAATGGCACGTTGATCTCTGATAATTTACAAATCCTACGACGCGAGTTACTCGAAATCGCAACAAGGTTTTTTTTCGAAGGAAAATCTTAAATAAAGAAAACGAAAGTTGAAATTTCGACAATAGGGGGTAAGGAGGGATATAACGATGAAACGGTGTCTGTGTCTTTCGAGCTGGGAACAAATCGATATCGTATCATTCGTTGTAGTTGGGCAAGTTAATCTTTAGCAAGTAATCCATGTTACTTTATCGCGATATCGCATTTTCACATCGAGTGGATCGAAGGGTTGTTATCAGTTGCAACAGCAGTGGCTCGATAGCAAGAGATATCGTACAATGTCGAGTATGTCGAGTAGAAAGAGAAATGATCGTACGAAATATACGATGGTTCCACTTTATTACCTCGAAATTACGATTCGAAAAAAATCGAATATTCGAATTAAATTTATTCGTGGAAATAATTCGTGGAAGGGAATTTAATTTTTGTAAAAAGTGTATACTTATGTTATTATTAATACGAAATTATTTCGAAAAATTTGTTATATTAGGCATAAAAATATATAGCAGATACAAGATATTAAATCATAAGCTTCTCAATTAAATTATTCAATATTTTTTTTTTTTTATTCACATTTCCTTACACGCAAGCAACAACAAAATTAAATTATCTTTTAATTTCCATTCAACTTTGTTGTATCCATTGTTCGTCGTCTAAGTAGAAAAAAAAAAAAAAGAAAGAAAAAGGAGAAAAATTAAAATTTCTAGCTCGCGAAACAGAGTTTAATTTAAACATTGATCCACCCGTGAAAATAAAGAAAGAAAAAAAAAAATATTTTCTACTAAGGTTGCCGTTGCGATTAACCGACAGTTGACTGACGTTACGCGGCTATGAAGTTTATTAAAGATATAATTCGCGGCACATGACAGTTCCGTCTTCCACCCAGCTAACAAGGATGTCCGATTAGGAAAGACAGGATAATAGCTGACAGCGCTTCGTAATCGGCTTTTACTATCGCGATTATACGAAGGGCGAGCAATTGCGCAAACTCATATTTCGACATTTTATCGAATCACACGATCAGTGTTTGTAATCGTTCGTCTTGCGGAAAGAAGATAACGGAAAATTCATCCTCCTTTTTCTTTTTTTTTTTTTCCTCTTCCTTGTCGGAATAGCGTTTGATAATGGCCTTAAATAAACGCGTCAGACATCTTCTCGTCGATGAACGATGAAACGTTGTTTTCCTTTATCGACAAAAGATGAACGGATAAATATTTATCATGGAAATTTGGGAGAAATTTGAATATTGTAATTTTTTAAAATTCTCTAAATGTTTATTTATAGAATATCTTTATTTATAGAATATCTTTTTCTTTAAATTGTTTTTTATTATAATATTAATTAGGTATTCCAATAATAATTACGCAATAATCTCCTCGATTATTCCATCGTACCACTTATACCAAATATTTCCAAATGTATAATTTTGAAAAACAGGATTGATCATTTGCTTCGTTTCTTTGGCAAAATCGCAATCAACAAAATTCGATCGATATATTCAGATGGTCAATCGCTATTTCGATAACGAATCATTTTCTATCGACATCCATTAAAATAATTACACGAATCGTTAAAATCAACGATAGAAAAAAAAAAAACGAAAAAAAAAAACCACGAATATCAATTTTACACCATGATTCATCAAACTTACGAAACGAAATTTTTCTCTTTCTCTTCCCCTCCTCCCCACCAACTCTTCTCAAAAAAAAAATTAACAAAGTAAAAACCAATCAAAAGCCATCAGAGAAACGATGGCCACGTTTGCAAATGAACCGCGAAATCCGATCGTGAAATTTCGTGAA